TATTTAAATCAAATAATTCAATAATAAATATAAAATAAACAAAACAATCAAAATTAGAATAAAATGAAAATATTTCAGAAATGAATAATAAAAATTAATTCATTCGTGTTCTATTTTATTTAATCAATTATTATTATAACAAAAATGATTAAAGAAATATGAATAAATATATTCAATGACACAAAATGAATAAATAAATTATCATAAAATAAAAATAAAATAATTCAATGATTAAAATAACAAAAAATAAATGTTACTTTTAATAACACTTAGTTTTAAATTTGTTATTAAAAACATAAAAATAAAAAAGAAGAATTTAGAATGAAATTGAACTTATAAATAAATATGAGATCTAATCAAATAACATTCAGCATTTTCACCATATTGGTAATTTGTAATATAAAACAAGACAACGATAATAAAAAAAATAAAAAAAAACTTAAAAATACATAATAATGGAAATAACAACATCAACATCAAATAACATACCAATTGTTAAAACAGAAGAAATGAAACAAATAGAAGAGTGGACAGAAAGAAGAGTTGGAGATGTACTGTTTGATTCAGATATTGATGATTGGAATATTTGTACATCAGTATTTGATCAAAGAATAGTAAATAAAGAACATATAATAATTATTATTGAAGATGAAGATGGAAATAAATTTGGAGGATATGTTAATGTAAAAATTGATAAAGTTTTTGATTGTGTATATGACCAAAATGCATTTTTATTTTCATTAGAGTCAAAAGGAAGAATACAAGGAATGATGAAATTTGATATTAAATATCCACAAGATGCATTTTGTTTATGTGATAAATCAAGTAGCTGTCTGTTTTCATTTGGATATGTGAAGGATATTAGTATTTGTAAGGAAAACTATAAAACAGAATCCTATTGTAAACAAGAATCATATGAATATAAAGGAATAACAAATGCACTTTGTGGAAAACAATGTCCAGATAAATTCACACCAGAACGAATCATTGTAATTGAAATGGAATGATTTTTATTCATTATTATTTATTTGAAATATAATAATTAAAAAAGAATATAAAATCAAATAAACAAATGAATACAAACACCATTTCTTTCATCTATCAATCAATGAAATGGTGAATATAAAAATATTCATATTTCTTTCTTGTTTTATTTCATTTCATTTGAAAAAATGAGTTAGAATTGAAGGTTGTCTCTCAAACTCCACACAAACATTAAAATGTATCCAAACACTGAAACACTTATTATCATCTGATTATGATGTTACCCTTAGTTAGAAAACACCTTACTCAGTATTGAAAGAATATCAGTGATTATTATTTAAGTTGATTGAATATCATTATTATAATAAAAGTGTGAAAATTTATAAAGGTTTACTATTCTTTATCAACATGTAAGTATATTTGATAATGAATCAAACGCATGAGTATTACCAATGAACTTGATCTACTTCTTGATAATACTAAATGAAATTAAGCATAATAATATATAGTAATGATACAATCAACATAAAATAAGAAAATAAAGAAAAAAAGTATTTAATATACATTAAATTAAATAAAGATGAGGTAATGAGTTAAATGATGAATAAATGAATAATTAAGATGAAGAAATTTAAAAGACATAATTCAATTAAAATAAAAGAATGAAAAATAGAAATTCACATTTCTCAACATATGAAAAGCTAAGTAATAGATGAATATTGATGAGTAAACATCCTTAAAACATAATGACGTGATTAGTCAGCGGTGAATAAAGAACACTAGAATATAAAATTATAACACTTCTTTATTTACTTTTTATTCTTTATTTTCTCATTTTCCAATTATTTGTTATTTTTTGTTTTCATTTTAATTTCATTCATTGTTAGTGTTCTCTATTTCTTGTTGGTGTTGTCTTTACTATCATTCTATTCACTCTTATTTTTCTTATTCATTATTCATTCTTATTCTCTTTTTAAACCCTTTTTTATTGTATTTTTATTAGATTCTTTACTTTATTAGTACTTATCACCCCTCTATATCCCGATGAATAGTAATGTTTTATTTTGTTTTCTTTACAAGAACTAACGAACTGTTCAATAATAGTGGTAATTTCATTTGTTGTTTTCCTTGTATTAAAAAACTGTGTTGTTAAAGAACAAACAATAACAAAGGGTTTATGTTAATAAAATAATAAATTAAAATCATTGTTGTGAACTCTAACTCAAACCACACTGTATTTTATTTGTTGTAGTTTTGTTTTACCACTCACATATCTTCACTCTTCAAGACATTCTGTTGGAACCCTTTAATCTTCTTTAATTCTTCTTCATATCCACAAAACTTATCCTTCCAATGAAGTTATTGCTGACAGTATAGTAATAGAGTGATGAACATCCTCTAAAACGTTTATCTACTATTTCACTAATTCTCGATGGAAATTAATTGAAGTTAATGATGGTACCAACCAAAACATTCATTTCCTATTTTATCGATTGATGATGGAGTGATAAATTTATTAACACCACCCCTTTTGATCTTCTTTCTGTTTATTATTTCTTGATTGTCTGGTTTGAATATTAATTAGCCCTAGATTACTCATAAACACTCTTTCCTCAATTATAAATTCTACACCTCAATAGCCATAAAGTTAATGAACTTCATCTTTTAAAAAAACCTCCTATTTCCTCAACTAACGTTGGTGTATTAATTGATTTTAATGACGCACATCGTTTAAGGCAACGACCTCTCAATTTAGTAATTGTTGATGGAATTATAAATTCATTCACACCTCTTTGTCCGATTTCTTTTCTATTAACGCTTTTCATATTTACATTTCGTTCACCTACAAATATTCTGTTTACACCAATAAACTGACTACATCCATAATTAAGTAAAGTTAGTGTTAAAAATTCACTAAAACATCTCCATTTTATTTCTTTAATTGTTGTTAGTATATCAACAGTACGACTGACTCATAACGTCTAAATCATTCATCTCAGAATTTACTAAATGCTGATGGTATATTAATTAATGTTAATGACGAACAACTATTAAAACACTCATCTCCTATTTTACTAACACTTGTTGGGATATTAACTGGTGCCAATGAATAACAGTGTTCAAAACATTTGTCTCCTGATTTACTAACTGACGTGGTTGGTGTTTTTTGTTAATGAAGAGCACCTTCTAAAACAATTACTTCGAAGTAATTTAACTTCCGGTGACAAAGTTTTCATATGTATTTCTATTTGATTGTGTATATTCTATATTTTCACATTCTTTTCATTCTTCTCTCTCGTTTAAATATGTTGAATAATCTATTAAATACCATATTACATATCCAATCACTTTCTAGTATTAAATAATTCATGATATTTACAATAAATATGAAATGTTTCAATATTAAGAAAGAACTTTCTTGAATATTCATTTAAATGAATTGGATTAAAATGAAATTGTTCAATATTTCCTTGAAATCTTTTAATTCCTTTTTCTAAAATAATAAAATCACCAATATCATCAAAGTACATTGGTGTTATCATTATTTCATTATATCCTATTTCATTATTGATTTATTGTTATTTGTTATATTTTCCATTCTTATTTTATTTCAACTTAAATTATTTTAAAGATTTATTTTACGTTATTTTGATTGTTATTCTAAATCTATATATTCTAAAATATTAACAAGAGATAGATTATATGTATCATGAAATTGATATCGACTATAAGTAGAGTTGAAGAAATGAAGTAGAAAAGAATTAATTAGAGTGAAATTGAAATTTGAATAAAAACAACAACAACACAAGAAATAAAGAAAATAATAGAAATAATTAATGAGTAATGAAAAGAATGAATAAATGAAATAGAAAGAAAATAAAAGAGGAATAAAGAAATAATAGAAAGAAGAATTAAAAGAAATGATAAAAGAAAATAAAGGAATAATAACATAATAAATAGATGAATAATAACTCATCAGATTTTACAAACATATGAAAGAATGGTATAATGGTATTAATTTAAAAGCATTGAAATCATTAAATATTGAATAGAATGAGTATATTCAAATATTAGTAATATATTCAAATTAATTAATAACTAGATCAAGATAACAAGATAACACATAATGAAAATATAAAATAATGTACATATTGAATAAATAATATAACATCTATATTACATATTATTACTATATAAATAAGAAAGAATATACAAATTGATAATATAAATATGTAAATAAAGAAATATTTAAATTCATAACCATGAAATAACATATAGAAATAGAAAATATAAATATACAATATTCACTTCATTATATAACATCAATATATTGTTAATTATAATTAATTATAACAAATACTTATTAACATGAGATAATATTAAATTTACAGGAAGAATAAAAATATATATTCATGATAATAAACAAAATAAAACACATATTAATAATGTAACTAATCTATAAAATGAAAATATAACAATAACTATTTAAATAAATACAAAATATTACAAATTAATGAATATAAAGATGAAATAAATAGAAGTCATTAAATTGTGATACATATTATTTGATTTAATCATAAATTGTCATTAAAATAAAAGAAATAGAAAATGATATAGATATAATAACAATAATAATGATATTATTACAAATAAATGAAATACATTATATATTAATTATATAATGATTTGAATTGTAATAATATAAACTCACAATATATCACATTAAATAAATACTCGGATAATATAGAAAGTGATAATGAAATTAACATTAATTATAATAATATAACTTCTCAAAACAATGAAATATGAATAAACAATTAAATATCATTAATTAGTTTATTTTTTAGTTTATTATATATTCTTTTCAAATGTATTTTTATTATCTATTAATTTGTTATCTAATTATCTTGTTAATTGTTGTATTATCCTCTTTCTTTCTATTTTATTCATCACTTCCTTTATTTTATTACAACATTTTCAATAGATAAGAATATAAATAAAAAAGAAAATAAAATATGATTGTTATGATCTGGTTGTTGCTTTTCATTAATATTGTATCATCTCAATTTTTGAGTATTAAATCTCCTATTGATGAAGGCAAAATCAAAACATTATTACGAGTTGATGGAGAAATTACATCAAAAGGGATTTTATTAACAACGGAATCTAAAAAAGATGGACTTATTTCAACAATAAAAGTTTGGTTATTTCACACTTTACACTAATGATTTAGTACTAACAGATACAGACACTTCCAACTTATTTCCAAATTAATGGAAAAATAAAGTCAGATGGTATTGGAAAAGGATTTGCATTATGGCTAACAACAAAACCAATTGTTTCAGGTAACAATTTTGGGGGTAAATTTACTGAATCAAGTGAAGGGATTTATGTAAAAGTACCAACAGATTCATCAAGGGGAACAACAACAATCTACAATACAGAAAAACAATTAACTCAATGCACTTTTCCTAATTCTATTCATTTTGAAAGTATTTCATTTGAATTAAAGTATGAAGAGAAAACAAATAAATTGATTATTTCAATAGGAAAAGACAAAGGAGGATGTGAAATGACATATGAAGGGAAAATAAAACATATGTATTTTGAAATATCTGCATTAGATGATAAAAATGGTGGAGATCATCAAATTAAATCACTTGAAATTATTGAAGAAGAAAACAAAAAGTACTAAAGAGTTATTAGGAAATGATAAAAGTATTAATGGATTGAATTTTGGTTTTACTGAAAGTGAATTATTTAATGACGGAGATGATATTGATTTTGCATTACAAAAAATCTATTTAGTATTAGGAAAAGTTCAACAACAAGCAAGTAAATTAGATAAGTTAAATGATGAGAATTCAAATTTAATGAAAATTATTGTCAATGGAGCAAAACATTTAAATGAAATGTAAAGAGTCAAGAACTTATCATTGATACAAGTGATATTCTTGTTGATGTAGATACATTTATGGAAAGATTAAGAACTATAGAAGAAATTACAAGAACAACAACAAATGATCTTAAGACTTTAATTTCAACAACAATATCATCTAACAAAAATACAATAAAAAATAATGAAGCTTCTACACATACATTCTTTTGGATTTGTTTTTTTTAATGCAATTTTGTACTGTTGTATTGGTCTTAAATTTATTGAAGAAGAAAAGAGATATGAATCAAAGAAAAGCAATTTAATTTTAATTTAATTTTATTTTCATTAAACAGAAAGAAATTAAAAGTATCTTTATTTAATTCTTGAAATAACAGATGAGAATGGATTAATTTTTGATAATGTAGATTTAATATTTTTAAAAGACTTTGTGATAATTCTGTTGGAATAAATTGAGAAGAATAACATTGTTCTTGTTTATCAATATTATCTTCAAGATGAATTACAAATAAATGATTCAAATAATGATGCAAGAGATAATGGAATTAAAGAATGATTAAACATTCCTGTGATGTTTTGATAAAGAATATAAAATAAAGGAATAATATCATCAATTGGAATATATTTCTTTCATAAGTGTTGATTGGGAGATGCAAATTGAAGATTTCTGATGATAAGAAAAGTCTTGATAATGTTCTGATAAACCAAAGTCAATCAAAATAATATCTCCATCTTGAGATATCATAAAGTTATCAGGTTTTATATCACAATGAATTATTTGTTTTGAATGAATATATTCAACAATTTTTATCATTTTAAATAATAATCTAAAAGATGTTTGTGAAGAAAATCTTAATGTTGGTTGATTTAATCGAAGTTGATTAAGATTTATTATGTGTAATTCAAATACTAAACAATATCCATGTAATTCATATCCACATTCAAAAAATCGAATAATACCTTCATTTCCTTGTAGATTTTTAATAATATTAGTTTCATTTAATGCACTACTTTCTTCATTAATGATTTTTATTGCAGTACTCTTATTTGTTTTTATATTCAAACAACGAAATACATTCCCTAATTCTTATAAATTATCTTATCTTTTAACCAATCTACTTATTAATACAAACCATATGTTCCACTACCAAGTGGTTCTTTAATAATCCAATCATGAAATTGTTTTTGTGATTTCATCTTAATAACAGAAGTGATTTAAAACTAATTTATAAATCATATTACCCTTTTATCTGTTTCCTTCTATCTTAAAACTGGATTTTAAACAAAAATACTCTTTTTACTTTGAAAGAATCAAAGGAAAATGAGTCAAGTGAATATTCTCTTTCATTCTTTCTTCTAAAAGTATTGTTTCTTTTCTCTCTTCCTTTTCTTTCATATTTCTAAAATAACACATTTTTATTTAACAACAATACATTTAACTTCTTATTAACTCCATTAAACAAACTTCATTTTATTTTAACACTTTCAAAAAGAGTAAAGAAAAGAAGGATGGATTTATAGAAAAAGATGTGTTGTATGAAAGGAGCTCTTATAAAATAAAAATTAAAAGTATTAAAAGAATCTTAAAAGAAAAAGTCTTAAATATGATAACCCACAATATGCCAAACTCAAACCCCACAGTATTTATTGCTTTTCAACAACCAATAAAAAAGGCAATTGTCTGCAATGACCTGTATGATTCAGTAATAAGATTTGGTAAAATTCAAAGAATTATTTGTATGAACTCACCTCGACCTGACATGCCCCATTCGTTAATAGAATTTGAATCACCAGAGTCAAGTAATAAATGCATTGAATATCTTAAAACTAATCCCCCTCCCAATTCTTAATTATAAATGTAGAGCAGAAGTAAGTAATGCAGAAACATTAAATGTTAAAACTGAGAGTCCACAAGCACATGACTATACGATTAGTCCTAGATTTGTGCATGAAACACCAATAACAAGAGTATTACTTGTTAATGAATTACCTCGGTATTTAACCCCACAATCCCCTTTTCATTTTTATAATCTTTTTTCATTATATGGGTCTATTATTAAAGTTAATGTTCTTAGTGAAAAATGTACTGTAATGATTGTATTATTTGTGGTTGGTGTTCAGTGTTTATCGTCATAATAAAATGTTGTAGTATTTAAGAGCTTTTATATTTCATTATAAATCTACATCTTTGTTTATCTTTAACATTTCCTCCATTCTCTAAAAATCAAATATTTTAATTATTATTTTTTGTTATTTGATTATTAATTCATTCTTACTATAATTTTATGTATGTTATGGTATTATTTTGTTTTTTCTCTCTATCTTTTTATTTTATTTTGTTATTTTTATTTTATAAATTATATTTTATTTATCATTATGATATATTTTTATTTTTATTATATTTCTCTTATTCTTTTCATTATTTATTCATTATTTTATTATTATCATTATTTCTTATTTTATTTATATATTATTTATGTTTTGTTTCTATTCTTATTATTTAGTATTTTGGTTTTATGTTGATTAAAAATGAAAAATAAATATATTTCATCATTAATATATCATTTTGATATATTTAAATATTGTAAATAAATGAAAATATTATGAAATGTAATAGATATAGAAATATTATATATTTAATTGATTATTATTATAAATCAAATACAAATATATTAAAATTATTATTATTTTTATATTATCATTTTATCATTATTTCATTCAATATTTATTATCATTATCATTATATTTTAATTTGATTAATATAAATATTTATGATGAAAATAAATAAAATTATTTTGATTATTCATTATTATTTATCATTTCTCTTATTATTATTCATATATTTTATTATATTTTCATTTATTGATGATTTTAATAATAAAATTTGTATTTATTAAATGTAATAATATCAATGAAATATTTGATATTTATCATATTCTATATCATCATATTATACATTATTATTATCTGTCATTCATA